AAAAAAAAAAAGAAAAAGAAAGAGAAAATAAATTATGTTCTATAAAATTATTTTTGTGAAGATTGAAATTTGAGGTTACTTTAAAATATTTTCTTGACAGCCACTTGACTGTTTTTGTCTTATCCACAGAATGTTTAAATTTTTACAGGTTTGCGTTAATGATGATCTTGTTGCAAAGAACTTCGCTTGTTACATATCACCCACAGAGAACAAAAGCCTTGACTATTTAGAGAAACCAAGGTTGAACATAAAGTCAGCATCCTTCTCCAATAAACTCAATCCAGCACTTACTCTTTGGCCAATGTTTTTGCAAGGAAAAGATTTTCCAGGAATAGAAAGTGAGTGGATTCTCACCAATATATATTTCCTTTAAATTGTTTTATTCATAATCTTATTGATATGAGCCGTACAAACTTTTCTCCATGTGGGGAAAGAGGCTTGGACTCTGTTTAGTATTTTAAGTTTAATACTAATGAGCCCGGTAAAAGGTTTTACAGCCCTAATGCTGGTACAGTTTGTTTTTATGAGACCAGGAAAAAACTGTCCTCAATTTCTTATTAATGTTGAGTTACGTTTTTAGAAGTCCATATATTTGTAGTTTAAACATATTAACAAGACAGGGTTTTAAATATTTAGATTTTTAGACATTTTAAAAAGAACTGTTTATTACAGGCTGGGGAGGTGGCTCACACCTGTCATCATAGGACTCTGGGAGGCCGAGGTGGGAGGATCGCTTGAGTTCAGGAGTTTGAGACCAGCCTCTTGACCCCGTCTCTAAAAAAACAAACAAAACAAAAAAAGATCTGTGTATTACAAACGACTCTTACATAAAAATATGAGAAGAGTTAGTCGTGGACCATGTGTGGAACAACTTTAAATGTTTCTCTCTACATTCGGTTCTTAGTCCCCCTAGTTAGGTCTCCTGTAATCTTACGGCAAAAGCAGAAGTTATAGCAAGAATTCACATTTTTATTCTGGGTTTTATTTCATGCTTTAATTCTGAAATTTATTCTTTCTGTCAGATTCACATGGCTTAAATTTTCTGGCACAGTCCGTCCGGCATACATGGCGCAAGGGTGTTGTTGGCGACCCGGGGCCAGCTTCTGCAACACCGGGTGAGTTCTGCTAGTTTGATTTATTCTATAGGTAGCATAAAAGAATAGTCTAAAGTGTCTAAAGATTTTAAAGGTTGTTCAGAAGGGCTGGGGTAATTCTCTTTTTTCTTAATTCAGTATAACCAATTTATGACGTAGGTGCCAATGGATATAATTTGCCCCGCAGTCTGTACTTTTAGGTTTTACTGTGATGTAAGCAACACAGCAGGCACCGGTTCACGTGTGGGATGAACCTGTCCCAGCCCAGCCGCAGACCAGTAATTACTGTTTGTTCTCAGTGTATGCATATGTGTTTATGATTGATTATTTTTTTGCCCCCCTATGATTGATTTTTATGCAGCAACAGGGTGCATAAAAATAAGGAAGACACACTTATGAGGGCAGAAACAGCCAGTCTTCAATTCCACGTCTTCCAGATAGTTAACGAACTGGAGTTGCTGGGCATGGGCTGAATTTGTCAGCCGCTGTGCTCGGCCCACCCTCTGGGGCGGTTCCTCCACCACGTCACTCTGACCTTGGACGTATGAACAGAAAGTCCTCACCTAACGTCATCGGTGGGTTCTTGGAGACTGACTTTACAATGAAATGACCTTGAACGACACGCTACTCGAGGACATGCTGTACATTGTTAAGGTTCGAGTCACAGTTTCCAAGAACCTGTTGACAACGTTAGTGAGGACCTAACTGTATTCCTGTGGGCGTGCGTTCCATGTGCGTCCATGGTAAACCACAACTGCATTCAGGCGTTAGCCAATTAAAACATTCCCTACACTTAAAACTATTCTTAATTACTTTGGCAATGTGGTTTAACATAAAGACACTCAAAATTGTAAAAA